AGGCCAAATTATTTTAAATACGAAACATGTAATAGGGAACCTTGCGTTGACAATCTTACCCATAAGATCAGCTCCTCCTGTTGTGGTGGGTGGTGCCCAAGCCAGAGTCACAGTTTTGGTGGTTACATCGATGACTTGTAGACTGTTAGGCTTTGACGGTGGAGCTACATCAAAGAAAATGCAATGATGAGGTATGCAATTCTTAACTTGTAGGGATGGCCTTCTTTAAAAAAATGTGATATTGATTTTGAAAGGCTAACAGTGGAGCCATGATTGAAAGGCTGAGGATGAATTATTGATGTTATTTTGTCAATAAGGATTTATTCTCATGACATATTTGTGACTAATATATTATTTGTGATTATTTCAAGGTAAGTAAGCTTCTAGATAATGAATGATTACTATCACTGAATATATTACAGTACTTCTTTTAGAAATTATAAGCACACATGTTAGTGATAAAAATCATAAATATTTATGCGGACAAAAGCACTCCTGCAAGTCACTATCCAAAAGCGATTAACTAGAATACATTATTCTCTAAGCAAAGCAGTTAACACGGTTATAGCCAAGTTATAGCTAATTATAGCTAAAAATAAAAACCCAGTCTCGATAATTAAGCAAATTTAATCTTCCTTATCAGCGTTAATGGCTTGATCACGGCTCCATGAAGCTTCCAGCACATTACTTAAAATAGTTCAACATCGTGAGATAATGTTACAAGATGTATGAGATACGTTTAATAATTGAGGATGAAATTCAAGGCCTTATGCAAAGACACCGTAAATACTAGAAACAACGGGGTAGCTTGCCCATATGGAATCACCGGTGCTAGTATTGTGTCCCTTCGTGATGTCTTGCTGAATTAGCTGGGTTGTAGCACAGTCCTGTGTGTTAGTAAGTGTAAGATGATACCTTAAGCTGGCATTCCTCCTGGCTCCTGAACTAAGTTTTTTTTTTACGAAATAACGGCCAGTTAAAATGACTGTACAGATGTTGAATTCGTGTGATTTAAATAAACGTGAGTGCAATATATGCTAGTCTTTGTAAAGTCAAAAAAGAAAAATGTTGGTACGTCAAATTATGCTATGTGCAATGTTTGCATACAACTTTTCTTGATAACAAACATCATGCCTCATTCAAAATGCAAAGGAAGGAGCATGAACTTGCTCTTTCTTAGAAGCAATAGGCATAGCTTAAAAATATGAATAATGTATTTAATAACGCTTATTGTTTTTCGTGTAAATTAATAATTTTTCTTCTAATTAATTTTATTATAAAAATTAAGCTTTCACATTTTAAACTGCTCAAGATATTGAGTCTAAGGTTGCTGACTGATATTTTATTTTCTAATTTAATCCGGGGAATCGATTTATCCTCGAAATAATTCTGCTTCTTTCCTTTAATATCTTATTCATATATGAAACATATTGCAGACCAGCATACTCAGGCGTCACACGGATATTCAGACTAATTTGTCGAACAGATTCTAAAAGATCTTGACTATGGAGCATCATTCCCTACCAAGTCATTTTCGTTACAAAATTAAACAGGAGTTATATTCTTGAAAATTGTGGTATATTCTCAACATGCAAAATGCATATTATTTTAATTTATTTTGTCTCAAATTACATTATTGTTAACATCTAACCTAGATTCTTTTGTTGTCATAAATTTTTGTCACCTCCAGACAAAGCTAAACAGGATTACCTGCTGTATAAATAATGGTAACCATTTGGCTGGGAAATAAGAAATTTTACCAATGCACAGTAGGGGCATCATAAAATAATTTGCGTTGCTTTTAACGAAAAAAATACCTCTTAAATATATTTATTCTCTTAATTTTGGTATGTACCAACAGATGCGGCAAAATACAATTATTTTCGATGAACTCTGCATATTTTATTGTTAACTTCTTAAGGCCGCTTGTCGTTTCTGTAATGAGAATTATTGAACATTATATGGAATTCTAATGTTAAACTCATGTAGGAGGTTTTGGGCGAGGTAACTTATGGAAAGGCAAAATTGTTTCCTGTACGGTACATAACGATCATTAGTACTATAATCATGGGTGAGTATTAAACCCGTAAGGATCAGAGCGCCTGAAGGTTTGATCAGAGTAAGGATGGCTCCAACTCCTTGAATCAAGAGTTCCCCACCAGTACCACTGCAGCCTTACCCCATGAAAGGTTGATGGTTATTAGGTATTGCTGCGGATCACTTTACTCTGTTTTTGTTTCATTAGAGCAGGGCTATAGTGGCTACAGCTATTGAACATTGCTACTCTGAAGATATAATTTTCAAATTAGTAGCTAATTTGAAGTATGAATTGTGTGGTGTTAATGCAAGTTTCACTTGTGCACTAAGAACTACATAAGCAATGAGCATGAGAGGAAGGGGGAGACATGACCCATGGAGGAATGTCTGAGCAAACTCTAGCAGACCAATAGGGCATCTCCAGGGACTTGCTGCCATTACCGGCAGTGGCAGTAACCCCCTCGGCCCTGACTTCATGCTCGCCCCAGGTCATGCTGCCTCTCTACGGCGGTGGTGCTGCCACGGGTCAACTACAGTGTTTGATGGTTGTTAATCAGCACGTCAACTGTCTAGTGACGTGACCTATGTGTCATGTGGGGCCGATCGCTCTGCCGATCTTCAAGAATTGTAAGTTTTTATGTCGTATTGAGTTACCAAAAAATATACATATATGTTTGTAGATTTTGTGGGAAGTTACTGGAATGTTAGATGACACTATGTGTTTAGCGTGTTTTATCGGCAGCGCGAGAATATGTACGTGTACCCCGGCTAGCTCCACGTGGGCAGTACCCCCAGCCACGTGCTCTACTCACTGATCTTCTTGCCTGCTGTGATCGGCTCATCTGGCTGCAGCGGTGGACTTTGGCCAACTGCATTAAATGCATATACCCTGAAGTAGTATGCTGTTTCCTTTTTTCAAGCCAGTGACTTCCATTTCTGTAACCGTGCTTGCGGTCTGGCCAACTTTAGCCCAGGCCTTTTTAGTGGATTCGCGTTTCTCCAATACGTAGTGAGTTATAGGTGAGCCGCCATCAAAGTCAGGCTCGTCCCAGTGTAGTAGTAGTGATGACTCTGTGATGTTGCTCACATCGAAGGGTCCAATAGGTGGTCCAGGTTTGTCTAGAGGTAAAGAATGTAATAGATGTACAAAAGTATTTTCGTTAATTCATAAATTTCGTATGTGCAGTATTAAAAGAGGAAAATATAAAAAACTATATAATCTTACCGAAAGGACTCTTGAGAACGATAGTCTCTGATACCTCCAGGGCGTCTGATAGACCTAGAGCATTGAGAGCAAACACTCTGAAGAAGTATTCATGCCCTTCTAACAATTCGGTTACTGTATATGATCTGACATCTGGACCAACTTCAGCAACCTTATTCCACTGTTTTTGTGTCTTCTCCAGCTTTTCAATATAATAAGATGTAATTTCCATTCCTCCGTCATAAGGTGATGCTTGCCATGTGAGTGTGAGAGAAGAGGAGCTCACGTCACTGACAACAAGAGGACCCATAGGTGCAGCCGGTCGCTCTGTCATTGGAAAAAAAGGTCAAGAAATCTATTCTAGGAAAAAAGTCACAGGTAAAAAAATCCATTTAACCTATTTTAACGTAGCGTAACCTAAAACTTCAGCTTATTTTAAAATGTGACTAATTTTTAGCAGTGAATATTATGATTTTTTGAGAGTTTTTCTGTTGATTTTTTCCCCTGAATATTTTTATTTTGAAATATGATATTTTAATGTTGTGTTTCTTCTTGCTACACTAGAGATGAATGTAGGATTTAATTTTCTTTTCATAATTTTCTACACTGTAACATTCATGAGCTACAGAATACGAAGTTAAAGGTACGGGAAGAATGTGATAAACTTGTGTCAATAAAAAAATATATATCACTATGACCCCTATATTAATATATATATATAAATTTTATATATATAATATATATATATATATATATATATATATATATATATATTATATATATATACATATATAAAGAAAGGAAATTTCAAGATGCGCATTAGAAAAAAGAGGTACACAATGGAGCAAAATATTTTTGGTAAAAAATGCACAAAAAAATTTAGATTGAAGTAAATGAACAAAATAATAAGATAAAAAAAAACTAGAATATTGTTGTCAAACTATGTTATTGAAAAAGTCAAACAAAATAATTTAAAGAATTTGTGAAAAGAAAATTTTTGGTAAAATATGTAAAACAATTCGATGAAAAATATACCCAAAAAAAATTTAAAAAATTCAAAATACTTAGGCAATGTAACTCAAGCAAGAGAATATGCAAAATTATTCGGTGAATTTTGTAAAATATGATAAGGTGCAATCAAAAGAGTGTAAAAACATTATATATATATATATATATAATATATATATATAATATTATATATATATATTATATATAAATTATATATATATATTATATAATTATATATATAATATATTTATATAATAAATATATTATATTAAAATTAATATAAAATATATATAATATTAATATATTTTTCGTGCCGATATTAAAACGGTCAATTAGCAGAACTTTATTTTAAAAATTTAAATCCTTTCTGAAATTTTCCTTATACTTTAAAATAAAAAATTTTCTCAATGTTAATATAAAAATTTATAATTTGAACGAAAAAATCCTTAGAAAAACTTACATAACCTTATTCCCCAAACCCAAGTGTAAATTTTTTTAGACTACCCAACCCCAAAAAATATTTTAAATACGTTCAATAATTTGTACTAAACAAACACATCAAAAATTTTTTCGTTTGGTTCAGAAATGATTTTGGCGAAATTATTGCATACACAAAATTTCACTTGTCCTAATGGCAAAATGACGTTGCTATTTAACCAAGATCGCAAAGTTCTCCCCTATTCGCACAACATAATATATATATATATATATAATATATAAAATAAATATTATATATATATATATATAATAAAATAATAATAATATATTATATATAAATAAATAATATAAAAATATATTATATATATAAATATAAAAAAATATATTTAAATATATATTTATATAAATATATGTCGGCCGAATATGTAAAAACTGGTCAATTAGCAAGGACTCATTTAAAATTAATAATTTCTAAAATTTCATTTTATACGTTAAAGATTATTTTTTCTTTAAATTTTAAATGTAAAAATTTGTAATTTTGCACCAAAAGGAACTTAGAAAATTTACCTAACCTTATAACCAGCACCAATTTATTTTAGCCTAACCCAACTAAATATATTTTTTATTTGTTTACAAATAATTTAATACTAAACAAACACAGTGAAACATATTTTTTTTCGTTAGGTTCTGAATTATTTTGGCTAAGTTATTGCATACACAAATTTTTACTTGTCCTATATGGCAAGATGAGCGTTGCTATTTAAGCCAATATATGTATATATGATATATATATATATATATTATATATATATATATATATATATATATATATATATATATATATATAATAGAATATATATATATATATATATGTCGTGCCGAATATGTAAAACTGGTCAATTAGCAAGAACTCATTTAAAATTAAGTCCTCTCTAAAATTTTCTCTTTATACGTTAAAGATATATTTTTTCATTAATGTTAATGTAAAAATTTTTAATTTTTGCACCAAAAGAACCTTAGAAAACTTACTAAACTTATCGTAACAAGAACAATTTATTTTAGCCTAACCCAACTATATATATTTTAGATTTGTTTTCAATAATTTAATGCTAAACAAAACAGTGAAATATATTTTTTTCGTTAGGTTCAGAATGATTTTGGCGAAATTATCGCATACACAAATTTTCGTTGTCCTATATGGCAAGATGAGCGTTGCTATTTAAGCCAAGATAGCAAGTTCTGCCTATTCGGCACGACATATATATATATATATATATATATATATATATATTATATATATATAATATATATTATATATATATATATATATAATATATATATATATTATATATATATATATATATTAGATATATATAATATAATATACATACATTATATATATATATATATATATATATATATATATATAATATCAAATATATATATATAATATATAATATTACATACATATATATAAATAATAATATATATATATATATATATATATAATTATATATATATATATAAAATATATATATATATATATCAACATATTTTTTTTTTCAACAAAGTCGGCCGTGTGTGTGTTGTGTGTGTGTGTGTGTGTGTGTGTGTGTGTGTGTGTCGTGCCGAATAGGCAGAACTTGCGATCTTGGCTTAAATAGCAACGCTCATCTTGCCATATAGGACAAGCGGAAATTTGTGTATGCAATAATTTCGCCAAAATCATTCTGAACCTAACGAAAAATATATATTTCAGCGTGTTTGTTTAGTATTAAATTATTGTAAACAAATCTAAAATATATTTAGTTGGGTTAGGCTAAAATAAATTGTTCTTGTCATAATAAGGTTAGGTAAGTTTTCTAAGACTCTTTTGGAGCAAAATTAAATTTTTTTTACATTAACATTAATGAAAAAAATGTCTTTAAACGTATAAAAGAAAATTTTAGAAAGGACTTAGTTTTAAATGAGTTCTTGCTAATTAACCTGTCTTACATGTTCGGCACGACATATATATATATTATATATATAATATATATATTATATATATATATATATATATATATATATATATATTATATATAATATATATATATATAATAATATATATATAAATATATATATATATATATATATATATATATATATATATATATATATATATATAATTATATATATATATAAATATATATATATATATATATAAATATATATGTCGTGCCGAATAGGCAGAACTTGCGATCTTGGCTTAAATAGCAATGCTCATCTTGCCATATAAGACAAGCGAAAATTTGTGTATGCAATAATTTCGCCAAAATCATTGTGAACCTAACGAAAAAAATATATTTCACTGTTTGTTTAGTATTAAATTATTGTAAACAAATCTAAAATATATATAGTTGGGTTAGGCTAAAATAAATTGATCTTTTTATAATAAGGTTAGGTAAGTTTTCTAAGTTTCTTTTGGTGCAAAATTATAAATTTTTACACCAACATTAATGAAAAAAATATATCTTTAAACTTTTAAGATAAGAGAAAAATTTAGAAAGGACTTAATTTTAAATGTGTTCTTGCTAATTGACCAGTTTTACATATTCGGCACGACATATATATATATATATATATATATATATATATATATATATATATATATATATATATATATATATATATATATATATATATATATATATATATTTTTTTTTTTTTTTTTTTTCAACAAGTCGGTCGTCTCCCACCGAGGCAGGGTGACCCAAAAAAGAAAAAAAATCCCCAAAAAGAAAATACTTTCATCATCATTTAACACTTTCACCACACTCACAAATTATCACTGTTTTTGCAGAGGTGCTCAGAATACAACAGTTTAGAAGCATATACGTATAACGATACACAACATATCCCTCCAAACTGCCAATATCCCAAACCCCTCCTTTAAAGTGCAGGCATTGTACTTCCCATTTCCAGGGCTCAAGTCCGACTATATGAAAATAACCGGTTTCCCTGAATCCCTTCACTAAATATTACCCTGCTCACACTCCAACAGATCGTCAGGTCCCAAGTATCATTCGTCTCCATTCACTCCTATCTAACACGCTCATGCACGCTTGCTGGAAATCCAAGCCCCTCGCCCACAAAACCTCCTTTACCCCCTCTTTCCAACTCTTTCGAGGACGACCCCTACCCCTCCTTCCTTCCCCTATAGATTTATATGCTTTCCATGTCATTCTACTTTGATCCATTCTCTCTAAATGACCAAACCACCTCAACAACCCCTCTTCTGCCCTCTGACTAATGCTTTTATTAACTCCACACCTTCTCCTAATTTCCACACTCCGAATTTTCTGCATAATATTTACACCACACATTGCCCTTAGACAGGACATCTCCACTGCCTCCAACCGTCTCCTAGCTGCTGCATTTACCACCCAAGCTTCACATCCATATAAAAGTGTTGGTACTACTATACTTTCATACATTCCCTTCTTTGCCTCCATAGATAACGTTTTTTGACTCCACATATACCTCAACGCACCACTCACCTTTTTTCCCTCATCAATTCTATGATTAACTTCATCCTTCATAAATCCATCCGCCGACACGTCAACTCCCAAGTATCTGAAAACATTAATTTCTTCCATACTCCTCCTCCCCAATTTGATATCCAATTTTTCTTTATCTAAATCATTTGATACCCTCATCACCTTACTCTTTTCTATGTTCACTTTCAACTTTCTACCTTTACACACATTCTCAAACTCATCCACTAACCTTTGCAATTTTTCTTTAGAATTTCCCATAAGCACAGTATCATCAGCAAAAAGTAACTGTGTCAATTCCCATTTTGAATTTGATTCCCCATAATTTAACCCCACCCCTCTCCCGAACACCCTAGCATTTACTTCTTTTACAACCCCATCTATAAATATATATTAAACAACCATGGTGACATTACACATCCCTGTCTAAGACCTACTTTTACCGGGAAGTATTCTCCCTCTCTTCTACACACCCTAACCTGAGCCTCACTATCCTCAAAAAAACTCTCAGCAGCATTTAGTAACTTACCACCTATTCCATATACTTGCAACATCTGCCACATTGCTCCTCTATCCACTCTATCATATGCCTTTTCTAAATCCATAAATGCAATAAAAACTTCCCTACCTTTATCTATATACTGTTCACATATATGCTTCAATGTAAACACTTGATCTACACATCCCCTACCCACTCTGAAGCCTCCCTGCTCATCCGCAATCATACATTCTGTCTTACCTCTAATTCTTTCAATTATAACCCTACCGTATACTTTTCCTGGTATACTCAGTAAACTTATTCCTCTATAATTTTTACAATCTCTTTTGTCCCCTTTCCCTTTATATAAAGGGACTATACATGCTCTCCGCCAATCCCTAGGTACCTTCCCCTCTTTCATACATTTATTAAACAAAAGTACCAACCACTCCAACACTATATCCCCCCCTGCTTTTAACATTTCTGTCATGATCCCATCAGTTCCAGCTGCTTTACCCCCTTTCATTCTACGTAATGCCTCACGTACCTCCACAACACTTACATTCTGCTCTTCTTCACTCCTAAAAGATGGTATACGTCCCTGGACAGTGCATGAAATTACCGCCTCCCTTTCTTCCTCAACATTTAAAAGTTCCTCAAAATATTCTTGCCATCTACCTAATACCTCCCTTTCCCCATCTACTAATTCCCCTACTCTGTTTTTAACTGACAAATCCATACTTTCCCTAGGCTTTCTTAACTTGTTTAGCTCCCTCCAAAATTTGTTCTTATTTTCATTAAAATTTCTTGACAGTGCCTCTCCCACTCTATCATCTGCTCTCCTTTTGCACTCTCTCACCACTCTCTCACCTTTTTTACTCTCCATATACTCTGCTCTTCTTATAACACTTCTGCTTTGTAAAACCTCTCATAAGCTACCTTTTTCTCTTTTATCACACCCTTTACTTCATCATTCCACCAGTCACTCCTCTTTCCTCCTGCCCCCACCCTCCTATAACCACAAACTTCTGCCCCACATTCTAATACTGCATTTTTAAAACTATTCCAACCCTCTTCAACCACCCCCCCCCCCAAATACTCATCTTTGCACTAGCCCACCTTTCTGCCAATAGTCGCTTATATCTCGCCCGAACTTCCTCCTCCCTTAGTTTATACACTTTCACCTCCCTCTTACTTGTTGTTGCCTCCTTCCTCTTTTCCCATCTACCTCTTACTCTAACTGTAGTTACAGCTAAATGATGATCCGATATATCAGTTGCCCCTCTATAAACATGTACATCCTGGAGCCTACCCATCAACCTTTTATCCACCAATACATAATCTAACAAACTACTTTCATTACGTGCTACATCATACCTTGCATATTTATTTATCCTCTTTTTCATAAAATATGTATTACTTATTACCAAATCTCTTTCTACACATAGCTCAATTAAGGCTCCCCATTTACATTTACCCCTGGCACCCCAAATTTACCTACTACTCCCTCCATAACATTTTTACCCACTTTAGCATTGAAATCCCCAACCACCATTACTCTCACACTTGATTCAAAACTCCCCACGCATTCACTCAACATTTCCCAGAATCTCTCTCTCTCCTCTACACTTCTCTCTTCTCCAGGTGCATACACACTTACTATAACCCACTTTTCGCATCCAATCTTTATTGTACTCCACATAATCCTTGAATTTATACATTTATAGTCCCTCTTTTCCTGCCATAGCTTATCCTTCAACATTATTGCTACTCCTTCTTTATCTCTAACTCTATTTGAAACCCCTGACCTAATCCCATTTATTCCTCTCCATTGAAACTCTCCCACCCTCTTCAGCTTTGTTTCACTTAAAGCCAGGACATCCAGTTTCTTCTCATTCATAACATCCATAATAATCTCTTTGTTATCATTTGCACAACATCCACGGACATTCAGACTTCCCACTTTGACAATTTATATATATATATATATATATATAATATATATATATATATATATATATATATATAATATATATATATATATATATATTTTATTTTTCACATTTTCCCAAACTTACAGCCAAAGTTGAGAGCTATAATAGCAGTATTTTTGCAGATTATTCAAAATTTTAGCAGTATATGTTGATAAAGACAATATAAAAATTTTTTAATGAAAACTTCTATCCTCCCTAATAATTTTGTATCCTGCAACGAAAATATAATAATTTTTATATATAATATATATATAATATTATATATATATAATATATATGTCGTGCCGAATAGGCAGACCTTGCCATCTTGGCTTAAATAGCAACGCTCATCTTGCCATATAGGGCAAGTGAAAATTTGTGTATGCAATAATTTCGCCAAAATCATTGTGAACCTAACAAAAAAAATATATTTCACTTTGTTTTTTTTGTATTAAATTATTGTAAACAAATCTAAAATATATTTAGTTGGGTTAGGCTAAAATAAATTGTTCTTGTTATAATAAGGCTAGGTAAGTTTCCTAAGTTCCTTTTGGTGCAAAATTATAAATTTTTACATCAACATTAATGAAAAAAATATATCTTTAAACGTATAAGAGAAAATTTTAGAAGGGACTTAATTTTAAATGAGTTCTTGCTAATTGACCAGTTTTACATATTCGGCACGACATACATATACATATATACTTTTAATATATATATATATATAATATATATATATATATATATTATATATATATATCGTGCAGATACAAAATTATTGGGGAGGATAGAAAGTTTTCATTATAAAAAAATGTTTTATATTAGTCTCGTGTATCAACAGTTAACTGCTACAAATTTTTGAATAATCTGCAAAAATACTGCTTATTATAGCTTCTCAACTTTGCTGTAAGTTTGGGAAAATAGTGAAAAATAAATAGAATGAGGAAGTTATTGTTTAAGAGCACAAGACACTTAATTTACAAAAGTAAAATATTAAATTTTCAAAATATTCTGTTGAGTTTTATAAAAGGAAGAAAAAATTATGTGTGGTCATAGTTCAAGAATATCAAACAACGCGACGTAGATGATAGATTGTACGAAAGCAAGCTAGACTTGACATGCTGTATATCATGGTGTTAGTGTGAAGATAGTTCAATTTCGGCCTGCTAATGAGCGTTAAAGACCTGAAAATCAGTGAAGGCTATTGATATTCACAGTGGATACTGATCAATGTGCCGACAATTGATTGCAGTTTACAGATGTGCTGTAATACTTGCAACATTTTGAAATTAGGGGTTACTTCTGATTCAAATATACGTCATAATTTGAATGTGATAAATACACGGAATACTGTTTAAGACGTGTTAAATAAAGAAGTTGCACTCTTTCTTCCTTTTATTTTTCTATACAATGAGAACACCTACTCCCAGTGACTTCGATAATTTCGAAACGATAAACTACAATACATATACTTAACTATTCTCTGGTGATAAACTAATATTCTACGTCAGTATGTGGAAATTCATGCAACAGCTTAACAGATGTAAGTTTCCTCGCTGAGGCTGGGAATAAATCTGATAGCTAAAGCTACCAAGAAAAATAGGTGTGTCATTTAGTAAATGCAGGGGAAGTAACACATCTGTGTCAGTTAATTGGGTAGATATTTGCGGGTTGTTGGAAATTATGCCACTAGAATTGTAGCAGCGGTGAAACAATATATGCTGGACTGGGATAACTTGTGAGGCTCATTGGAAGCATAGACAGTGAAAAAATATTTAAAATATATAAAATTTGATAACGATAGTAAAGCATCTAAGTTGGCAGCACTGGTAAAACATGAAGGATGGTAACACAAGTAGAGCATGTATAAACGTGTAGTGGTTTATTACCCCTCTTGATTTCTTCCTCTATCACCTCTAGAGCGCACACTTGGTACTCCTTCTCTTCCTCTGTTTGGTGGTGAAGACGTGTGTTTGGAGAAAGTTATGTATGAAGTTATCCATTATGTGAAATAGGTAAAACAACGAATAGTTATACAGTAAAAGAACATTAAAGGCATTTGCGTTAAGAAGGATGAAAGGAAGTTGTTAATTATGAGTAAAAACATAAAATGTGGTCACAGTGAAATGTTAGTCATAACCTAAGAATTACTTGAATGAAGAAATATGATAAACTGTGAAGGATTCTTGATAAATGAATGAATTTTATTATTCACTACCAGTAATGTCACTTCGCAATAACTCTAAAATCTGAGAATCAAATAAATATTTCTAATACAATACATAATTATACACAAAATAAATTAGGAAAAGCTCAAAAACTTGCAATTATTGACCATTAAAATGAAACTTCACAGCATCTGAACATATATCTAAACGTATCTGTCAGGATATGTGAGGCAATACTAAGGTAACTTTTAGACTAAGAACCTACCGACGACGCGCAGATTGAAGCTAAGCTGTGATCTGCCAGCGGAGTTTTGAGCGGTGAGTGTATACACTGCAGAGTCCTCAAGGGCTAGTTTGTGTATAGCGATATCTGTCGTTCCCTCTGACTCATCAATGTGGATTACGATATGTGGCGTTGACTGTGGGAAAAGACGTTAATGGATGTACAACTATATGCATGAAGGTGATGTTATTAGTTTCATCGATTACATATCCGTCCATGGTACAACTGTTTATGAAATACAAAACTATCTAAACATACATATAACATCCAAATTGTAAAATTATTATAGTAATGAAAGCTGCTAAACCCACTGGAGGTCATACAGTTCTGGGAAATGAAAGGTAATCAGTTTTGGTCCAACGAAGGAAAAGGTCACTCAATTCGTTGGTTCAAGAGTCCTTCAATAAAATCAAGGCACCCATTTTGAAGGGAAAGATTAAAAAAGTAGCACATTTTTATCTATATTGTTCTTTACAGTTGCTAAGATCAATATACTAGACAATTGTATTTTTATAATGTTTCATCAGTATATTATGAGATATTGATAAAACCTGATCTATGTATGTAAAATTCCTCAAAACATCTTACCACAAGTGCCTTGTCATTGCGGGCCCAAGTAATGTTAGGCCGTGGATGACCAATCACCTGGATGGGCACGTGCCACTTCTCTCCCACGGTAAGACGCTGACATTGTTGGTTCTCATCATACTCAAATCTAGGTGCCTCTGTACCAGAAATAATGAAAAAATATTTTAATTTCATCTGAAAACACATTAATCCCAGAATGACTAAATCAACTGAATTTTACGTAAATCATGAAAGACGACCTAATTAAATAATATTCAAAATATCAGTTGTTTTTAATATTTAAAAATGAATACAGGGAAAATGTTTTTCTACGAACCTTGAATTACAACAGTAGCTGAGCATTCTGCCATGCCAGCTTCATTACTGGCACGGCATGTATACATCCCGCCAGAGGTTTCCATTGTTTCTTTGATGGTGAAAGTGGCTGTAAAGTTCTCGTAGCGTGTGATACCAGAAACTGGCTTCCCATCCTTCAGCCAATCAATCTTGGGTGGGGGAGATGCTGTAACGACACAGCGAAGGATGACTTCTTGATGCAGGCCAGTCACGATTGCTTGTAGCTGCTCCTTCACCAACGGCGGCTCAGCTGTTATGGGCTCGCACACCTGGGCGCGTACATAAACTTTTTTCATCATAAATGCCAGACTAACTTAAAATATGATATGCACGGTGTGAGGAGAGTATTTAATATAAAACTAGTGGAAAAGTTTTTTAATTACCAACAATAAATATATGGGGGAGTAACATAAAAGGAACAAATAAATATTATAACATTTGATATTTCAATGTTCAAAATAGGTTAAAGGTAGGCTATGTGTAACATTCCCTTTTTCCAAGACATACCTTAACGTATTTCGAAGCATTAGACGCTTCAGATGTTCCTATTTCATTAACAGCAGACACTCTGAAGCAATACTCTGCATGTGTGGTGAGATTAGTGACCACTGTGGTTGACTGTGTTATCTTTACTGTCTGGTTGAATACAACCCAGCTCTGCTCTGTCTTATTCCTACAAAAGTGATAAAAGCAATTGCGGGTGATTAATACAAAATCTAATTTACTTTGAACATAACAAAAAGTATGGATTATTTCTATAAAATATAACGTCAATTCTGCAATTTATATAAATATTAAAAAGAAATTTTTTAAGACTGTAGAAAATAACCATGGCCAAAGAACGTACATGTATTCCACAATATAATTGGTGATGACACGGCCACCATCCTCCTTAGGCACGGACCAGTGTAGAGTGACAGTGGTGTTGGTCACCTCCATTGGTTCTGGTGTACCAGGTTGTGAAGGCTTGTCTGCAAGAGCCAATTATTATGGTATTAATATTTTATATAGTAGGATCCACAAATGTTAGAATGAAATATCTAAATCCTTATTCATCTAAGGAAAGAGAAACTGAGGTAATATATGTTTAATAAAACACTAAGTCAGTCAAACACAGCTATATTGTAACTGCCAAATCATTCAGGATAAAAATAAAAATTGATCTCTCTCTCTCTCTCTCTCTCTCTCTCTATATATATATATATATATATAAAAATATATATATATATATATATATATATATATATTGGCAGTTTGGAGGGATATGCTGTGTATCTTTATACGTATATGCTTCTAAGCTGTTGTATTCTGAGCACCTCTGCAAAAACAGTGATTATGTGTGAGTGTGGTGAAAGTGTTGAATGATGATGAAAGTATTTTCTTTTTGGGGATTTTCTTTCTTTTTGGGTCATCCTGCCTCGGTGGGAAACGGCCGACTTATTAATATATATATATATATATTATATATATAATATATATATATATATATATATTATATATATATATATATATATATATATATATATATAATATATTACACTTCGGCCGTTTCCCACCGATGCAGAGTGACCCAAAAAGAAAGAAAAACCAAAAAAGAAAGAAAAACCAAAAAAGAAAGAAAAGAACTTTCATCATCATTCAACACTTTCACCATCATTCATACATAATCACTGTCTTTGCAGAGGCGCTCAGATACGACAGTTTAGATAGTCACTCCAAACTGCCAATATCCCGAACCCCTCCTTTAAAGTGCGGGCATTGTACTTCCCATTTCCAGGACTCAAGTCCGGCTAACCGGTTTCCCTGAATCCCTTCACAAAATTTTACCCTACTCACACTGCAACAGCTCGTCAAGTCCCAAAAACCATTCGTCTCCTTTCGCTCCTATCTAACACGTTCACGCACGCTTGCTAGAAGTAAAAGCCTCTCGCCCACGAAACCTCCTTTACCCCCTCCTAAAAACCTTTTAAAGGACGACCCCTACCCCTTCTTCCTTTCCCTACAGATTTACACGCTCTCAACAAGTCGTCTTACTTCGTTCCATTCTATTTTGCATTTTTAGTGATTTATACAGGGAGAAGGGTTACTAGCCCATTGCTCCCGGCATTTTAGTTGGCTTTTACGACACGCATGGCTTACGGAGGAAACATTCTTATTCCACTTTCCCACGGAAGTACAGTGCCTGCAGTCTAATGGAAGGTTATGTCTGGAGAGACATGTAAACTGTCGTATCTGCGCGCCTCTTTAAAGACAGTGATAGCGTTAATGATGGTGAATGTTTCTTTTTCAGGTCATCCTGCCTCAGTGGGAGACGGCCAGTGTGTGTTTATACATTTGGAGACAAAGAAGAAAATGTACGAGAGTAGTGGTACCAACACTCTTATATGGGTAAGAAGCATAGATTGTAAATGTTGCAGCGAGGAGGCAGTAGAGATGTCGTGTCTAAGGGCAATGTGTGGTGTAAATATTATGCAGAGAATTTGTAACGTGGGAATTAGGAAGCGTGGAGTTACTAAAAGTATTATTCAAAGGGCTGAAGAGGGGTTGTTGAGGTGGTTTGGTCGCTTAGAGAGGATGGAACAAAATAGGATGACTTGGAGGGTGTATAAATCTGTAGTGGAGGGGAGGAGGGGTAGGGATCGTCCTAGGAATGGATGGAGAGTGTAAAAGAGGTTTTGTGTGTAAGGGGCCAGGAAATGCAACAGGCATGTGTGAGCGTGTTAGGAGTGAATGGACACGAATGGTTTTTGGGACCTGACGAGCTGTTGGAGTGTGAGCAGGGTAATATTTTGTGAAGGGATTCATTGAAACTGGTTAGCCGGACTTGAGTCCTGGAGGTTGAAAGTACAATACCTGCACTCTAAGGAGGGGCTTGGGATATTGGCTGTTTGGAGTGATATCTAAACTCATATCTGGGCACCTCTGGAAAGACAGTGATATTGTGTGAATGATGGTGAAAGTGTTTCTTTCTTTTTTGGGCCACCCTGCCTCGTTGGGAGACAGCCGGCGTGCTGAAAGAAAATAAATATGCACATACGCACGCTCGTACGCACACACATTTACACCCACCTAAGATCTTGACGGTGAAATCGGCATAGGCTGCACCACAGTCATTACATAGTTTAAGCCTGTATTCGCCACAGTCAAAGTTCTCCACCTGCTTGATTGTGATCGATGCTTCATGTTCAGATATGCTTGGCAGCAACTGCAGAATACATACAAAACAATATTAATTCTATATATCAATAAATTTGAAAAGAAAACAATAAAACCCTAACTACATACCTCATGCATGCAAAAAAAAATCACGAACAAACATTTACAATATAAGTTGAGGGGTGTCAGAATCGAGACTAAATTATACAGGTTCATACTATTTTCCTTCCTTTAAACTACATTTTACCAGTGTTACTACATGCACAATAAATGAATAAAATGATATTTGACCACAATGAAACAAGCACGTTCTAGGTATTCTCGTCAAGCATCAATCAATCGAGAATGTGACGAATATTCTATATACAGTATACCTACTTTTTGAGTATTTTCTGTATCAAGGAGCTGACCCTTATGGTACCAGAAGACTTTGGGAGTTGGGGTAGCGGTAAATGGAACTTTGAGCACAGCGTCCTTGCCCTTTGTGACCACTACTTCAACCTTCTGGTACTCCTTCTCGATTTTCGGTGCAGTCTCCATAACTGAAATTCATACATGCATACATGAAAGAGTAAGTCATATAGTGAAAAGAGGAAATATGTGCACTTCCCTTAAAATAATGAAAATCTATCCAGATCTATGTGTACTCTTCACAGATTTCTTTTATGTCTTAAGTAAACCTTCATACTCACGGACAACGTTCAGTACACACGAGGTCTTGAGGTTGCCAAGGACACATGAGTACTCATAAGCATCATCTCGAGTTACAGACTTAACAATCAGGATCCTCTTCTTGTTTTCTTTCTTTATAATATATTTTTCAGAAGAACTCAGCTCAACACCATTCCTATTGCAAGTAATTAAGTTATGGATCAGCAAGAGTTAAGCTCACGAAGCTCTGTTTTGAAGAGATATATTGGAATGAACAAAATATACGTCTTCAAGTCTGCATTAGACATACATGTATAATGGAAACAACTGTTTACAAGGAAACCATGTTGCATTTTTTAAAAACTCGGTTTCCTATTATGAATGTTGCTTACCTTAACCATTTAACTTCATACTCTTTTGTAATCTCTACAATGAAGGTGGCATCTGTCTTGAAGTTAACATCCATCTGAGCTGGTAGCTTCTTCGAGAAATCTCCTTCAACCTGAAGCTCAACCTAAATAAATACATATAAATGAAGATTTACATCACACATATAACTTTATAAAAAGTAAAATGCACAATTACATTTTATAAACATAAGAACCTGCCTCGGTGGGAGACGGCCGACTTGTTGAGAGAAAAAAAAAAAGAACCTTCAATACTGATTTGCTTTAGTTACAAATTTTTTTTAAGTAGTATTCTGAAGAATAAACATACAACAAAATAATAATGTACTCAGACCTTGAGAGTGGCAGAGCACTCGCTCCTGCCAACAACAGCCCGGTAGGTGCCGCTGTCCTCAGGTTGGCAGTTGTATACCATTAGTCTCTGAACCTGTGTAACGTAATAAGAAATACTGCATAGAACATTCATTTTTCAAGCGAAATCATTCATTAATAATTATAATTTATTTCTTAAATCAAGTTGAAAATACAATTATCGACTTGATTTTGGAATCAATACTATAATATCACATTCCAAAGCCATAGAGATGTCTTCCTTTACTGTTTCAACATATTTTTTGCTTGTTTGGATAAACCAAAGAACATCATTGCGGTCAGTAGAGCTGGTAATGTTCAGATGTTTACCTTCCCATCGATGGAGAGCTGGTTATGATCAGAGAATCTAATTTCAATGTTGTCCTTATACCAAGTAATGACAGCATCACCCTTCGTCAACTCAACCTGTAAATTATGCTTGCATCAGTGCACAGTGAACCCTTACATCTTTACATTCCATAGAAAATTTCAGTATTTTAAATTTTTACTAGTGGTCTTGAAATCACTGCAGTAACAAACAGATAACTACAAAATAATTAGCAAAGATAAAGGAAGGTATGAAAATACCTCCATAGTAGCCCTGTTGCCTTTGGAAACGACTTGGTCTTTCATCTTCCTGACTATCTCTGCAGGAAGTTCTCTGACGGTGAGTTCGGCTGTGCACTCCTGGTCGCCCAAGACACACGTGTACTCTCCCTCGTCAGATAGTGTGGCTTCCATCAGCACCAACTTGCGAGTTTTACCTTCAGAGACCAGCTTGAAGCGGTCGTGACGCTCGGTAATTTCCTCCCCATCCTACAGAAAAGTAAAAATGGTCTACATATTATATATATATATATATATATATATATATATATATATATATATATATATATATATATATATATATATATATATAATATATATATATATATATATATATATACATATATATATATATATATATATATATATATATATATATATATATATATATATATATATATTATATTTTTTTTTTTTTTTTTTAACAAGTCGGCCGTCTCCCACCGAGGCAGGGTGACCCAAGAAAGAAAGAAAATCCCCAAAAAGAAAATACTTTCATCATCATTCAACACTTTCACCACACTCACACATTATCACTGTTTTTGAAGAGGTGCTCAGAATACAATAGTTTAGAAGCATGTACGTATAAAGATACACAACATATCCCTCCAAACTGCCAATATCCCAAACCCCTCCTTTAAAGTGCAGGCATTGTACTTCCCATTTCCAGGACTCAAGTCCGACTATATGAAAATAGCCGGTTTCCCTGAATCCCTTCACTATATATTACCCTGCTCACACTCCAACAGATCGTCAGGTCCCAAGTATCATTCGTCTCCATTCACTCCTATCTAACACGCTCATGCACGCTTGCTGGAAGTCCAAGCCCCTCGCCCACAAAACCTCCTTTACCCCCTCTTTCCAACCCTTTCGAGGACGACCCCTACCCCTCCTTCCTTCCCCTATAGATTTATATGCTTTCCATGTCATTCTACTTTGATCCATTCTCTCTAAATGACCGAACCACCTCAACAACCCCTCTTCTGCCCTCTGACTAATGCTTTTATTAACTCCGCACCTCCTAATTTCCACACTCCGAATTTTCTGCTTAATATTTACACCACACATTGCCCTTAGACAGGACATCTCCACTGCCTCCAACCGTCTCCTCGCTGCTGCATTTACCACCCAAGCTTCACATCCATATAAGAGTGTTGGCACTACTATACTTTCATACATTCCCTTCTTTGCCTCCATAGATAACGATTTTTGACTCCACATATACCTCAACGCACCACTCACCTTTTTTCCCTCATCAATTCTATGATTAACCTCATCCTTCATAAATCCATCCGCCGACACGTCAACTCCCAAGTATCTGAAAACATTCACTTCTTCCATATTCCTCCCCAATTTGATATCCAATTTTTCTTTATCTAAATCATTTGATACCCTCATCACCTTACTCTTTTCTATGTTCACTTTCAACTTTCTACCTTTACACACATTCTCAAACTCATCCACTAACCTTTGCAATTTTTTCTTTAGAATCTCCCATAAGCACAGTATCATCAGCAAAAAGTAACTGTGTCAATTCCCATTTTGAATTTGATTCCCCATAATTTAATCCCACCCCTCTCCCGAACACCCTAGCATTTACTTCTTTTACAACCCCATCTATAAATATATTAAACAACCATGGTGACATTACACATCCCTGTCTAAGACCTACTTTTACCGGGAAGTATTCTCCCTCTCTTCAACACACCCTAACCTGAGCCTCACTATCCTCATAAAAGCTCTTTACAGCATTTAGTAACTTACCACCTATTCCATATACTTGCAACATCTGCCACATTGCTCCTCTATCCACTCTATCATATGCCTTTTCTAAATCCATAAATGCAATAAAAACTTCCCTACTTTTATCTAAATACTGTTCACATATATATATGCTTCAATGTAAACACTTGATCTACACATCCCCTACCCACTCTGAAGCCTCCCTGCTCATCCGCAATCCTACATTCTGTCTTACCTCTAATTGTTTCAATTATAACCCTACCGTATACTTTTCCTGGTATACTCAGTAAACTTATTCCTCCATAATTTTTACAATCTCTTTTGTCCCCTTTCCCTTTATATAAAGGGACTATACATGCTCTCCGCCAATCCCTAGGTACCTTCCCCTCTTTCATACATTTATTAAACAAAAGTACCAACCGCTCCAACACTATATCCCCCCTGCTTTTAACATTTCTGTCATGATCCCATTAGTTCCAGCTGCTTTACCCCCTTTCATTCTACGTAATGCCTCACGTACCTCCACCACACTTACATTCTGCTCTTCTTCACTCCTAAAAGATGGTATACCTCCCTGGCCAGTGCATGAAATTACAGCCTCCCTTTCTTCCTCAACATTTAAAAGTTCCTCAAAATATTCTCGCCATCTACCTAATACCTCCCTCTCCCCATCTACTAACTCCCCTACTCTGTTTTTAAGTGACAAACCCATACTTTCCCTAGGCTTTCTTAACTTGTTTAACTCACTCCAAATTTTTTTCTTTTTCATTAAAATTTCTTGACAGTGCCTCTCCCACTCTATCATCTGCTCTCCTTTTGCACTCTCTCACCACTCTCTTCACCTTTCTTTTACTCTCCATATACTCTGCTCTTCTTATAACACTTCTGCTTTGTAAAAACCTCTCATAAGCTACCTTTTTCTCTTTTATCACACCCTTTACTTCATCATTCCACCAGTCACTCCTCTTTCCTCCTGCCCCCACCCTCCTATAACACAAACTTCTGCCCCACATTCTAATACTGCATTTTTAAAACTATTCCAACCCTCTTCAACCCCCCCACTACTCATCTTTGCACTAGCCCACCTTTCTGCCAATAGTCGCTTATATCTCGCCCGAACTTCCTCCTCCCTTAGTTTATACACTTTCACCTCCCTCTTACTTGTTGTTGCCTCCTTCCTCTTTTCCCCACTACCGCTTACTCTAACGTAGCTACACCCCAAATAATGATCCCATATTCAGTTTCCCCCCTATAAAATGTCATCCTGGAGCCTACCCATCAACCTTTTATCCACCCTACTAATCAAAAAAATACTTTTTATTAGTGCTACATCATACCTTGTATATTTATTTATCCCTTTTTCATAAATATGTAACTTATTACCAAATTTTTTTTAAAACCCTAGCTCAATTAAAGGCTCCCCATTTTCATTTACCCCTGACACCCCAAATTTACCTTACTCCCCCCCATAACATTTTTTCCCCACTTTAGCATTGAAATCCCCAAACCCCCATACTCTCAACTTGATTCAAAACTCCCCACGCATTCACCCAATTTTCCCCCAACCTTCTCCTCCCTACACATTCTCTTTTTTCCGGTGATACCGCTTACTATAAATCACTTTTCCATCCAATCTATATTTTACTCCCATAATTTTAAATTTTTAAAAATAAATATATATATTATATAATAATTTTTATATATATTATATATTCAACAAGTCGGCCGTCTCCCCCTATATATATATATAAAATTTTAAAATATATATATATAATATTTTAATATATATATATAAGAAGAGTAGAGAATGGAGAGTAAAAAAAGGGGAAGAGAGTGGGGAGAGTGCAAAGGAGAGCGGATGCTAGATGGGAAGGCACGTCAAGAAAATTTTAATAAAAATAAGAAAAAAATTAGATTTTAAACAAGTTAAAAAGCCTAGGGAACAAAGGGATTTTTCAGTTAAAAACAGAGGGGATTTAGGAGGGGAATGGAGGTAGGGGAGAGAGTTTGGGGAGATGGAGGATTGGGATGGAGGTATTGCGGAGATGGGGTATTGGGGGAGATGGCAAATATTTGAGGAACTTTTTTAAAGTCCGGGAAGAAAAGGGGGAAAGGTAAATTTTATGCACTGGCCAGGGGGGTTATACCTCTTTTAGGTTAAGAAAGCACGATGTCAGTGTGGGGGGGGTGCGTGGGCATTACGTAGAATGAAAGGGGTTAATGCAGCGGAACTGAGGGATCATCAAAATTTAAAAGAGGGGACGACAAAGGGTTTGGGGGGTTGGAATTTGTTTTTAATAAAATGTAGAAAGAGGGGGAAAGGGACCTAGGAACTGGCGGAGAGCGTGTATAGTCCCTTCATATAAAGGGAAGGGGGACAAAAGAGATTGTAAAAATTATAGAGGAATAAGTTTACTGAGTATACCAGGAAAAGTGTACGGTAGGGTTATTATTGAAAGAATTAGAGGCAAGAAAGAATGTAGAATTGCGGATGAGCAAGAAGGTTTTAGAGTGGGCAGGGGATGTGTAGATCAAGTGTTTAAACATTGAGGCATATATGTGAACAGTATTTAGATAAAGGTAGGAAAGTTTTTATTGCATTTATGGATTTAGAAAAGGCATATGAGAGCAATGCGGCAGAAGAGAGAAGAGAGGGAGACTGCTTCCCGGTAAAAGTACGTCTTAGACAGGGATGTGTAATGTCATCATGGTTGTTTAATATATTTATAGATGGGGTTGTAAAAGAAGTAAATGCTAGGGTGTTCGGGAGAGGGGCGGGATTAAATTATGGGGAATTAAATACAAAATGGAAAGTGACACAGTTACTTTTTGCTGATGATACTGTGCTTATGGGAGATTCTAAAGAAAAATTGCAAAGGTTAGTGGACGAATTTAGGAATCTGTGTAAAGGTAGAAAGTTGCAAGTGAACATAGAAAAGAGTAAGGTGATGAGGTTATCAAATGATTTAGATAAAGAAAAATTGGATATCAAATTGGGGAGGAGGAGTATGGAAGAAGTGAATGTTTTCAGATATTTGGGAGTTGACGTGTCATCAGATGGATTTATGAAGGATGAGGTTAATCATAGAATTGATGAAGGAAAAAAGGTGAGTGGTGCATTGAGATATATGTGGAGGCAAAAAATGTTATCTATGGAGGCAAAAAGGGAATGTATGAAAGTATAGTAGTACCAACACTCTTATTTGGGTGTGAAGCTTGGGTTGTAAATGTCGCAGCGGGGAGGCGGTTGGAGGCAGTGGAGATGTCCTGTCTAAGGGCAATGTGTGGTGTAAATATTATGCAGAAAATTCGGAATGTGGAAATTAGGAGGTGTGGCGTTAATAAAAGTATTAGTCAGAGGGTTTGTTGAGGTGGTTTGGTCATTTAGAATGGATCAAAGTAGAATGACATGGAGAGCGTATAAATCTGAAGGGAAAGGAAAGCGGGGTAGGGGTCGTCCTCGAAAAGGTTGAGGGAGGTAAAGGGTGTTGGGGCGAGGGTTTGACTTCAGCAAACGTGCTTGAGGTGTTAGTAGAGTGATGGAGCGAAGGTATTTGGCCTGTCGGCTGTTAGAACGTGTGAACGGTTAGATAGTTAGTGAAGGAGATTCAGGAATCCGGTTATTTTGATACTGGACTTGGTCTGGAAATGGGAAGTACAATGTCGCACTAAAGGTAGGGTTGGATATGAGTTTGGATGGGATATGTTGTGTATTTTTATAGTATATATTCTAACTGTTGATCTGGCCTCTGCAAAACAGTGAATATCATGTGTGATTAGGGAAGTGGTTAAATGATATGAAAGTATTGATGATATTATATATATATATATTATATATATATATATTATATAATTTATTATATATGGGATTATATATTCAACAGTCGCCGTCTCCCACGAGGCAGTGGTGACCCAAAAAAGAAGAAAATCCCAAAAGAAAATACTTTCATCATCTTCAGACTTTCTACACTTTTTGCACTTACACTGTTTTGCAGAGGGCTCAGAATACAACGTCTAGAAGCATACAATATTATAAATACACAACATATCCTCCAAACTCCAAATCCCAAACCCTCCTTTAAAGTGCCGGCATTGTACTTCCCTATTTCCAGGACTCAAGTCCGACTATATGAAAATAACCGTTCTCCCTGAATCCCTTCACTAAATTTTACCAACTGCTCACACTCCAAGCATCGTCAAGTCCAAGTCATTCGTCTCATTCACTCTATCTACACGCCACGCAACGGCTTGCTGGAAGTCCAAGTCCTTATATATATATTATAATATATACTATGATTATATATACTATATAGGTGGATATATGATACTTTAAATAATAAATAAATATATATATATATAATATATATATATATATATATATATATATATATATATATATATATTATATATATATATATATATATATATATATATATATAGTATGTATAGAGGAAAATTCCAAGAAAAGTTAATAATTTTACTATCTGTCTTCAATGAGTTCTTCAAGAAACGTATTATTGTCCGGAGATATGAGAGAAAACATACTACTCTGACGGTTTTCTTCATTTTCTTTTTAGTAGACTATACGGGAAAAGGGGTTACTAGCCTATTGCTCCCGGCATTTTGGCTGACTTTTACAACAAGCATGGCAAACGGAGGAAACATTCCTATTCCATTTTCCCATGGATGTGAAAGGAAAAGTAATAAGAATAAATAATATTAAGATAAAATCAAAGAAAAACTCAGATGAGTGTGTATACATAAATGTGTACATGCATGTGTAGTGTGACGTAAGTTTAAGTAGAAGTAGCAAGACGTTCCTGAAATCTTGCATGTTTACGAGACAGTAAAAAGACACCAACAATCCTACCATCACGTAAAACAAATACAGGCTTCCGTTTTACACTCACTTTCTAGTACGGTAGTACCTCCCTGGGCGGTTGCTGTCTACCAACCTGCTAGGGTGTTGGGGAGAGGAGTGGGATTAAATTGTGGGGAATCAAATACAAAATGGGAGTTGATACAGTTACTTTTTGCTGACGATACTGTGCTCTTGGGGATTCTAAAGAAAAGCTGCAAAGGTTAGTGGACGAGTTTGGGAGGGTGTGTAACGATAGAAAGTTGAAAGTGAATATAGATAAGAGTAAGGCGATGAGGGTATCAAACGATTTAGAAAAAATTGGATATTACATTGAGGGAGCGAGTATGGAAGAAGTGAATGCTTTTAGACATTTGGGAACTGAATTATCAGTGGATCTGTTTATGAAGGGTGAGATAAGCCACAGAATTGATGAAGGGAAAAAAGGTGAGTGATGCGTTGAGGTATCTATAAAAACAAAGAATGTTATCCATGGAGGCAAAGAAGGGAATGTACAAGGTATAGTTGTACCAACACTCTTATATGGGTGTGAAGCTTGGATTGGAAATGCTGCAGAGAGGAGACGGCTGGAGGCAGTGGAGGTGTCCTGTCTAAGGGGAATGTGTGGTGTAAATATTATGCAGAGAATTCGGTGTGTGAAAATTAGGAATGAAGTCACTAAAAGTATTAGTCAGAGGGCTGAAGAAGAGGTGTTGAGGTGGTTTGATCATTTAGAGAATGGAACAAAGCAGAATGACTTGGAGAGCATATAAATCTATTGGGGAAGAAAGGAGGGGGTAAAGGCAGTCCCAGAAAAGGTTGGAGGGAGGGGGTAAAGGAGGTTTTGTGGGCGAGGGGCTTGGACTTCCAACAAGCGTGCGGATAGGAGTGAATGGAGACGAATGGTTTTTGGGACCTGACGAGCTGTAGGAGTGTGAGCAGGGTAATATTTTGTGAAGGGATTCAGGAAAAATGGTTAACCGGTCTTGAGTCCTGGAAATGGGAAGTACAATGCATGCAACTTAAAGGAGGGGTTTAGGATATTGGCAGTTTGGAGGGACGTCTAAACTGTCGTATCTGAGCGCCTCTGAAAAGACAGTGATTATGTATGAGTGATGGTGAATGTTGAATGTTGAAACTTTTTTATTTCTTTTTGGGTTTTTCTGCCTCGGTGGGAAGCGGCCGACGTGTTGAAAAAAAAAATGAAAGAAAAAAATTTATTTGCGAACTAAAATATATGGATCTTTATGAATAATCAAGACAGTATGCACATACCTCTAGGTGTATATCTCCAATGTATTTGCCTATTTGTGGTTTCAGGTGTCACTTCTTAGATCCTGGCCCCACCTCTTAACATGCCACTCCAGATTCACTCACTCTCAGCTTCGTGGGCCCTGTCGTACCAGCTCTTAAAATTATGCGTGGAGCCTGCAGTCATCACTTCTTCACTAAGATCATTCTATTTCCTGACCTCTCAATAACTAAAGAAATACTTTCTATCATTCTTGTGGTTCATCGGTGACTTCAACTTCCTGAGGTGTCCCCGAGTTCCCGTTTCTAGCCTCTCAAGCAGCTTATGACTCTCTACCTTATCAGTTCCCTGAGTATTTTGTATAGTGTTATCAGGTCTCCCTTGGGTCTTCTGGCCGCCAATGTCGTTAGTTCCAATTACGTTACCG